ATTAGAGTGTTTACGGTAAATCCCTACTCGGTTTCAATTTTTAAGCATTTCTAGTTTCAGACCTAGTGAAGGTACTTCATATCCTATTTTTAAAGAATAAACTTACATCCATAAAACAATGTATTCGACACAAAACCATCGGGTGCATTTGTATATGGGCGGAACATGGTATAGATCACATCAATTAGACAAATCACACCGGAAACCAGAAGCCACGTGGAGACCCATGGCGGGAGAACTGGCGAGCGAGTCTGGAAAGTTAAAATGAGTTGAAACACATTTTTCTAATATATATATATTTTTTTAATTGAGCTGGGAAGACTACCGTAACACCTGTTATAGAAGGGCACCCAACTAATAACTTTGAGCCAATTTATCTCATTTCCTATAAGAGATTTTAAAACTTTGTCAACTATAAATTGTTTATCAGATTATCAAAAATATTTTATCAGTTGACACTTTCAATATCTTTGATTGGAACCGAGATAAATTAGCTCAAAGTTGACGGTTTAGATGGGCGGCTACTAAAACATTTACAGTATTTTTGAAAGTCAAACATCTCGGTTCCTGTTAAAGCTACAAAAAATTGTTAACTGATAAATTGTTTGTCATAATATCAAAAACATTTTATCAATTGACAAAATTTTGATATCTTGCATAAGGAATGAGATAAATTAGCTCAAACTTGATAATGTGGGGACCCTTCTATTATATGTTTTTGGGTATTTTGAAAATTTGGATCATTAGAGTTTGAAAAATCAAAAATGTATCAAAAAAAAACTCACCATTCTTATCACCTGCGGTCTATTGAACCTGAAAAAATCAAACTTTTATAGTTGAACTCTTTTGTTTGCACAATTATTCAACATAGCACAAATCATACATATAGGCTCGTTTTCGGAAGAGTCTAGCCAACTCATTTTTCAAAAACAGTGATCTATCGGCTATGAGCTACTGAGTTTTGAGTACAAAAAGAAAAAAACTCAGCGACAGTCATAAAATTCAAATCTAGCGGTCTGTAGGACGCCAAAGGGCTCCTAAGGACGCCAAGGGTGTGTTGGGCGACCTTTACCAAAGAGAGACAGTGTGAAAATCAAAGAAATCATAGAGAAACAGACAAAAATTATAATGGCGACAGGGTGACTGTTGTAAGAGGGAGCGAGGGCAACGGAGGACATGAACAAATATAAATGACGAAACGAATGAGAAGAAAATGAAGACGAAGGAAAGGAGGGAAGTCTCGGAGAGAACTAGGTCATTCTGGATACAAAACACGGATAGGTGGGGAGGGGGAGAAAAATGGAAATTGGTTTAACTGAGATCCAAAGATCGGAAGAAGCTTGAAGCGAAGTTAATTACCGTAAGCACTCTAATAGAGTAACTTCAAACTTTGAATCAAGCTATCTCGGTTCTTGTGAAAGCTATCAAAAAGTGGTCAACTGTCAAAATGTTAGTGATAATATGATAAATATTTTGTTAATTGACCACTTTTTGATATCATTGACAAGAACCGAGATACGTTGGCTCAAAGTCAAAAGTTAAGAGACGACCCTTTTATTACATGTTTTACGATAAATTAGGGGTACTCCCTTCCATTCAAACTCAGTTGCTTGTTATTTATGATCACTGTTGCTCCTGGGGAAAACCGCAACGCGACCGCAACGCGTTGCCTTCATTCAGAAACGTCCCTTTTTCCTTTTCTGAACTCATCTAGCCGTCAGTCTTCTTGATTTCCTAACTAACTTTTGTATATTTTTAGTCAATCTCACAACGGCTCCATCATATAAGAACCGTAGACAACTATCCCTCCCTTATCCCTGAAGGTAGATCTTTAAATATTTTTAAAATTTCATTCATTTCAATGTTTTTGGAATATTAAAAATTATCAAAGTCGATATCCAAGAAGACGTTCGGATTCTGAAATCAGCGCTGCCGCGTCATAGTGTTGTCGACGTGGCAATGAAGACGTCGCCGGAGTGTCGCGAGATGTGGAAGATGGATCATCGAGGTAATAGTCGCAAAGTGTTGAGATCGTCAAAAAGTTTCTGGAAGCTTCCGGAGTGCACTGACTAGCAGCTTGAGAGATCCTTTGAGAGATTTGAGAGAACGTCGGGCGGTCCGTTGGATTGTCGAGCCAGGTTTCACGCATCAGTTGGTACCTAGAAGTTTTCAACGTTTAGAAAATATGATAATCAGAAAGCTCACATTGAAATAGCACACCCATCTGGCTTCTGCAACCTGAACCCTTTCTCCACCAGTCCTCTAATTCCAGCATCAGGAACATTATAGTAGGGACGGCCGCCCATGGTCAGTATCTCCCATAGGACCACTCCAAATGACCAGACATCCGAAAGAGCCGTTGCGGTTTCCCCACGGAGGAGTTCAAGGCTCGACCATTTGTATTGGTTCACCACAGGGGTGCTGGAAAATCTTTAAGCTCAATTATCTTGGTTTCTATAAGAGATATCAAAATTTTGTCAACTGATAAAGTGTTTGTCATAATATCAGTAACATTTTATCAGTTGAAAGATTTTTGATATCTCTTATAAGAACCGAGTTAATTGAGCTCAAAGTGCACGCAAAGGTGGACGAGCAGTTACGGATCAAACAATTATGGACTCACCAATTCGGAGTTGTTGGTGTTGAAATACTTCCAAAGTCTCCGAGCTTCACATTATGATCAGATGAAATCATGACGTGTCTAGCACACAATGCATTATGTACAATGCTCTTGGTTCCCAAGTACATCATGGCTGTGCAAATTTGAGATGCAACTCTATATAAGTCATGTATGGAGATTACTTCATCAAAGTCAATGTCGTTGAGGCTAGGGAGGCTCTCGTTTAGATTGACCCCTTTTTCTTGGAGCTGAAAAACATCAATCTTTAATTTCACCATTTCACAGAACTGTCTCACCTCCACCATATACTTTCTCTTCAAAATCAAATAATCCAACAAATTCCCATTGCTACAGTACTCCATAACATGCAATACATTTCCATTCTTGACGACTGTCCCAATGAAAGATAAGATTCTAGAGTGCCTTCCGACTTCTTTCGCTCCTTCGATTTCATCGAAGAAGTCTTGTTTTTTAGACTTATCCAGGTAACGATTGGTTTTCACAGCGACCCTTTGTTGGTCATCCAATACTACCGGACCATGCCAATCAAGGGATAATTGGCCTAGAAATTGTAGTTCATCTCGGAATCAAAAATAATTGACATACCAATATAAACAGTGCCAAATCTGCCCTTGCCAATCACTATATCTTCAAATAGTGTCAGACTTTTCTCATCCATTAGAAATTGATCACTTTCTTGATTGTTTCCTTTACACCATCGTCCTGTTGCACACTTGTAGCTGATGAAGATGATGAGGATGATTAGAAGGAAGGCTAGTACAAAGGCGTATCCAATGAGGGTGCGAAGAAGAGAGTCGGCTGGAGCAATCACGGAAAGGGAGGCGATTGTGGTGGAAACTGGAAAATAGAAAATAGGAAAAAAATAATAGGTTCAGGCTCTGAAAGTTTTCTAAAATTATATACCGTAAAACCTGTAATAGAAGGTCTCCCACACTGTCAAATTTGAGCTCGTTTTTCTTGGCTCCTATGCAAGATACCTAGAATTTGTAAACTGATAAAATGCTTGTGATATTATGATAAACACTTTATCAGTTTACAACTTTTTTATAGAATTCGTAGGGACCGAGATAAATTGGCTCAAAGTTGAAAGTTAAAGGCGCTTCTAATACAGGTTTTTTGCTCGAATTCTTTACTCAAATCAACTCTTCCAGTTCTTTAAAAAAATTAAAAAATTAGATTGAGAACTACGATCCTTGAGAAGTTACCGTACCTGTCAACACATCCGCTGCAATCTTACTCGTCCCCGATACAATGGGCGGCGCTTCAAACCGATGATCCAGAATTCCACATATCTGCACACCGTACTTACTGCTAGTGTCGTAGTTTGAAATGGTGAAGGCAAACTTTCGATTCTTAAAACCCTTTTAAAATTTTCAGAATTCCCAAAACAGAACCCACAAATCTCGTACAGTTCACTCGATTCGGCACACAAAATCTTGTCGTATTCGCCTTCGCCATATCCAATACACATTCTCCATGGTCATTTTTCGTGTGCTCCTCGCATTTTCCTAAAACATTTAGGTTTTTTTAATCTTCCACAAAGCTAGCTATACCAGAATAAGCCAAAAAGTATCTCATCTTTTTGAGTCGATGGTAATTCTTCTCAATCGAGATCAACACATCCACCTGATCCACGTGGTTCTCCAGCTCTATCACTCGTGTGTGATAGCTACGCATCAGATTGCATACTGGGTGATGGTCGACTGAAAATTCAACGCATTTGGATTCAAATGAAAAAACTGGCTATTTTAAATTGCTCACTCTTAATGGCATCTCTGCAGTCTGCACCAATAATTTTCTCACATGCAAAAGTGACATTCAGAGCAGCGTGACTGGTGAGATCAAGCATTTTGTCACATTTAGTGTCGTATAATGAGCCAACCTAGGTTTTAACACTTTAAAAATTTTCATTTGTAGGGGTTCAAAAGCCTTACCCTTATCTCATAAGTCGATCTCAATTTCATGTTCAACAAATCAAACAGAAGTTCAATAACCAACGCTGTTGTCTCTTGGCCAACATCCACAAAATGGACAGATTTGAGTTTAGGAGGTCTTCTGGATGACTCGATGACGTCGTGGGACATCGGAAGCCAGTCGATGGAGAGGGAGGAGTCGTTCTGGAAAGATTCGGAAGTGAGTGGTTTTTACAAGGTTCAAAAATTTCGACCTTCTTGGTCATGTAAGTTGAAAACAGTTAAAACGCACATGTCCATACTTCTAAACCGGATCTTTGCCGGGCCTTCGCAGGCGCTGCTATAGTTGCTTTTAGTATCAATATTTTTAAACTAAGTTAATCAGGTATAATAGAACTCAACGAGACCTACAGAATGATATTATATAAAAACTGTATCTTGTCTCAGAATAAAGTTACAAGCTATAACGCTGTGACTGCATAGCTCAGATGGTTTATGACTTGTAACTTTGTTCATAACAAAGATACACTTTTTCAAATGACATCTTTTTGTAGTACTTGTCAAGTTCCATCTTATGTATCTAATTTTTGAACCATTGATTCAAAAAGAAAACTATGCCCGTGCCTCTCTACACTTCGTTACCTAAGTCACTCACTTTCAACACATCCCATCGGTTTGCCTCAAATTCCAATCCTTCAATGTACACAACTGCCATAACCGCAAGCTTCGGTTCTGGGCCTTCTTCCTGACGATTTTCTTGACGAATTCGTCCTTTGAGAGCCATCGATGATGATTTGACGCATTTCGAATTGCAAGTGCAATGTTCAGAGGAGCCCAGAGTCCAGAGGAATAAGAGAGCTATTATAGTTTTTAACATGGTTCACATTTGTACCAAAAATCTGAAAAAGTTTACAAATCTAAAAGAACTACCAGTTAGAAAAAAAATCACAAAAATTCGGCAAGTGTCCGTTGAGTACATAAACATGGGAAACTGATCGGGGGTCTGTGTGATGTGGGTGGTTGAGAGAAGAAGCCGTTTGGCAAACATAGAAGGGTCCGCTACTAACTATTATTATGAGAGGGAAGCATCACAGATTTCACGTAATGGAGATCAGATGGGAATCATGTTTTTTTGTTAATTTGAGAAGTAAGTGAATGAGTCAAGTGAGCAGTATGGAGCAAAGTGTCGGTTTGAATCATAATTAAGGAATCGAAGAGCAAGAGGTGTAAAAGGAAATCGTTGAGCTAAAAGCGGACATTCATCGGACGTGAATTTTCCAGAAGCTTTAAAAACATAATTTCCTCCAGCCAATTGGATTCCAATTATAACCATTCAGCACTGGTCAATAAGATAGACAAAAACCAATTTTTCTGTTAATTCTCGGTCATTTCGATCAACTTCAAGAGTCTGTAGCTCGGCTTTTAAGTTTCCGACCACTTTTTGAAAAAACTTATGATTCTATAAAACAGACCTGGATCGAAAACTTTGCATTTACAGAATATTTTAAAAACTCCTAGTTTTTCGGCTATTTCACGATTTCTGAAAGACACCTGTTTCTTCATGTTTTCAGTACAATAACGGGCCGAAATTCTGTAAATGCCTCGAGATTTTTACCATTTTCGAGAGTCTAGAACTTGGCTGTACATTCAAATGCTGGAATCGGACAGAATTCAGAAATTTTTTTTAGTTCTAAAAGCGACGTTTTAGCACTCCTAAAAACCGAGATACAGCTGTTTGAAGTTATAGAGAGACGCAGACAGTTAGAGCGTCTTGTCGTCTGCGTCTCTAGCACCCAAAACTTCATAATGGCTGTATCTCGGCTCTCAGGGGTCCTAGGAATATGATTTTGGTACCGAAATGTTTAGTTTTTGTTGCTTTTTCTTTTGGAATAAAAATTGAAATTACTTCGAGAACTTTGGTTTGTGTAAAACAGACCTGGATTGAAAACTTTGCATTTACGGAATTTTTTAAAAACTCCTAGTTTTTCGGCTATTTTTCGATTTCTAAAAGACACCTGTTTTTCCATGTTTTCAGTACAAAAACGTGCCAAAATTCTGTGAATGCGAAGTTTTCAATCTGGGTCTGTTTTACACTCTCAAAAAATATTTAAGTGATTGGAAGCCTGACAGCTGAGCTCTAGACTCCTGAAAATGGTCAAAATGGCCGAAAAGCAAATGAAAAATTGATCTTGGTACATCTTATTGGCTGGTACTGTAGCTTCTCAGAAAAACGTGACAAAAATCTGAAATCCTTCAGGAAAAATGTGAAAAATGAATCTCCATCCATTTCCCTTCCTCTTCCATTATTATCTTCAAACTGTAATCTGATATAGCTGAGAAAAACGGGTCAACTCCTTTTTTCTCACCCCACTTTTGGCTTCTTCCTTCTTCCTCTTCTTCTTCTTCTTTTCCTTATTTTTCTCAAATCTCGAAGATTGCCCCCGGCCGTCCATTTCTGGATGTGTGAAATTTGATAGGATTTTTTCTGTGTTGAAAGGAATGGCGAGGGTTAGTAGTTCTAGATTTTGTATTTTAGGGATGAGCAATCTAATCTAGAACCTTCTAGTAGAAACTTCTGGAACTCAAAAAAAATGTGGGAAAAATCTTGATTAGACATAGAAAAATTCATTGAACATGTTTTGTAAGTACAAGTCAAAATTCCTAGGGGAGTTCAAGTACAACACAAGGTTCGAGGCAAAAACATCAAAAAGATCTAGATAACTTTTTGAAAAAGTTATAAACCAGTAAATTGATTTAAACTAGTTTTGATAATTTATCAGTCAAAAGTTATCAGTTCGTATAACGTATTACGTATAACGTGAAAATATAACTCAAAACCTGCAATAGAAGGGTCCCCGCACTGTCAAGTTTGAGCTCATTTATCTCGATTCCTATGAAAGATATCAAAAATGTGTCAACAGATCAAATATTTTGATATTTTGATGAACAATTTATCAGTTTACCACTTTTTTATATCTTTTACAAGAACCGAGGTAATTGAGCTCAAAGTTATAAGTTAAGGAGGGGGTGGTCGGGCTTCTATTACAGGTTTCGCGGTAATTGGGTTCAAGCAAAGATGGCTTCTAATCCGCGCTAACATCTAAAAAGTAGCCTTCCGGTGTTTGATAAAAATCATGAACGACGATAGTACAGTCTCCTTATCCCAAGCATATCCACGAATCTTTCCGTTGAGTATGAAAACCACTCTAGTGTTGACTGAATCTCGTGGTATTTCAAACAGCTTCAGTCGGACGCCCCAGGATTCGCTGGAAATGATAGGAATTTAAAGAAAAAGTTGTTTTTTTGGACTTACACATTCTTGAAGCTTTCCATTGGTTCAAACGGGTCAAAGCTAATCCACACTTGTTCAGCATAGGAGGACTCGATCAGGTGTTTAGAGCGGATTGTGAAGCTGTTGGGTTGATAGAGATTCTTGCTATGATGATTCTTGATAAACTCTGATAAGACCCATGGATTCAACTCCTTGATTTGAACATCCACCACATTAAAATGATAAAACTCTTCCAAGTTTGCTTTAATCGCTCCATTGATTTTAATTTCCGACAAACACTTCCAATGTTCTGTTTCCATCAGGTTATCCACCAAACCATCCATTATACCTGGACCTGTTAAGTGCAACTTCTGCAGATACATTGGATCCAAATAGTTCAGAAACTTTAGAAAAGATTCGCTTTTGATATTCACATTCCATTCCAGTCTGTTCACTTTGCAAGAAACTTGTAGATTCTTAAAAGTGACTGAACTGAATATTTTTTCCTAAGTCTGGAGCTCAACTGTCAAGTCTTCGATCGTTTTGAAAATATTGGACGATGTAAAACAGACCTAGATTGAAAATTTCCCATTAACAGATCTTTTTGAATTGTTCTAGTTTTTCAGCTATTTGCCGATTTCTGAAAGACAACTGTTTTCTTCAAATTTTCATTACAAAAACGGGCCAAAAATGGGTGTCTTTCAGAAATCGGAAAAAAGCTGAAAAACCAAGAGTTTTCGAAAAATTCCGTAAATGCAAAGTTTTCAATCCAGGTCTATATCTATCAACCCAACGGTCTGTATCTATCAACCCAACAATTTCACAATCCGCTATAAACGCCTGCTCGAGTCTTCGTATGCTGAACAAGTGTGGATTAGCTTTGACCCGTTTGACCCAATAGAGAGTTTTAGGAATGTGAAAGTCTTTTAAAAAAACTTTTTCTTTAAATTCCTAACATTTCCAGCGAATCCTGGGGTGTCCAACTAAAGCTGTTCGAAATTCCACTTTTCCGATGTTAGTGCGGATTAGACTTCTTCTATTTTCGAACCCAATTTTTGTAGAAACTGTAATAGAAGGGCCCTCTAACTTTCAAGTTTGAGCTAATTTTCCTCGTTCTTGAAACAGATATCAAAAAGTGGTCAACAGATAAATTGTTTATCATAACCTCAGGAGTATTTTTTTAGTTGACCTATTTTTGATATCTTCCATAGGAATCGATATAATTAAGCTCAAACTTGACAATATGATGGCCCTTCTATTACAGGCTTCACGGTAAATGTGGACAGTACATGATAAGCCTTATCAGCATTGGTAGATTTTGTGATGGCCCCACAGGGTTTACGGTAAATGTGGTCAGCACAACCGAACCCTGCTCAGAATGCGTAGATCCTACATCTGTAAACGATGTTTCGCTTTTTTTGGGTCAACAGGTTTATTCAAGAATCAAGAAATACAGTGCATGATGAAAATTCAATGTGATGAACAACTTGAACATTTTGCAACAGAGGGACAAGTTAGTTGTATCAGGAACATTCTGGTGATTCTGAATAATGCTAAATTCGGGAAGAAAGGAAGGGTCCGAATCTTAAGATTTGGAGATGGGTTCTGTTTTTTTTGTTTTTTTTTCGGTTTTTAGGAGTGAAGTGGGAGAGGAGATGGGGAATCTGTAAAAGACATCGGAAGTTTGTTTTTCGGGAGAGGGGATAATGGTGAGAATGTTTTAAAAAAGAGAGATCGATCTGTAAAGGAGACATCGGAAGATTGTGTTTTGGGAATTCGCAGGGCGAGACCAAAGGATCGGAAATACTATCAAAGTCAGAAAAGGTTAGCTTACTCATGAAACGGGATAAGGGTAACAGAAGAAGACAGGGAATTCAGAGAGTGCACTTTTTGAGAAAAGGACTAAGAAGCGAAATAGTAAGCTGAAAATGAAAGAATTCCAATCAAGCAGCTAGGTTGCTCAGGATTAGTGGAAAAGTGCAATAATTTTTAGTTTTGATTAGGCATGCATGATAGTCATAAGGACTTAGTTTTGATTAGGCATGCATGATAGTCATAAGGACTGAAGTAAGCATTGTAAGCTAATGAAGTAAGTGAAGCACAGAAGAAAAGCAGAGAATCTAGTTGAAAGTGAAATTAGACATCCCAAGTTTTGGTGGCTTTGATGTTCAGCTTTGTCATGAAGAGAGCCATCGCATTGGCAACCAGATTCTCTCTGGAAACATTTCCAATCACCGCCTTATGTCCAAAGTTGACCATCAGGACATGATCCTTGCTTCCTGGAAGCTTGAATCGCCGGCATGGGTTTTGGTTCATCTGATCGCTGAAAGAAATACAAAATGTCAAAATGTATGTTTCACTGGAGGGACTTACGTGTCTTCAACTTTGCCATCATCAAATGGATATGGCTCGAACTGTTGGCAGACGTACTCTTTGAATCCTGGAATGATGTTCTGATCGCTGAGGATGACGAAGTAGGCCATGTTGGTTGCATGGGTAGCCATGAAGTTCTTCATGAAGTCTGCGAACTCCAATGGGAGCAACTTTGAGACCATAATCTCTATCTTGGAGAACTGATAGAAGTACTGAAGGTCGAAAGTCACGGGGAAGGTGATTTTGAGCTCCTTGAGCCCACGCCATTGCTCCATTCTCATCACGTATTTCAGTTCATCCATATCGACATGACTGTTGTTGATGTACAACGTCTTCAAGTATTTTGGATCCAAGTGAGCCATAAACTCCGCGAACATGTCGTTCTCCACAGCGACATCGATCCAGCTCAACCACTTGACTTTCCAGAGAGCAGTGTAGCCTTCTTTCTGTCTATCCTCAACACGTCCCATGATTCTCGCCAAGTACTTTGGCATTCCTTGATAGGCTTTGTCGTTGCCTTGGATCCAAAGATGATTGACCTGAGAGTTGCTGTTTTTGAAGCAGCGCATGAGCATTTCAGCTGCATCGTTGCGGTGAAGCTTGACGGAAGCAGACTCGGTTGATGGTTGGTACTTGTTGGCTTTTTGAGTCTTTTCGCACACAAACTTAGTGTGACGGAACCAACGTTTCGGTTGGGTCATGATTTTGACGCGAGTGAGGTGGACTGGGTTACCATCCACAACAGCCTTATTGTCCTTGCAAGACAGTTGGAAGTCAGTTCTGGAATCCCAGTTGTAACTTCAATATATTACTAGCGACTTATTTTTTCACTTACTTCGATTTATCATCCAAGGTCAATGTCATTTGCTTCTTGAAGTCAATCGGAAGATCAGCCCAGGTCTTCTTTGTCTCTCCGACTTTCGACGTCTCACCAGTGTCTCCGGATGGTTTCTCAACGTCTTCCTCTCCAACCTCAACCACCTTCTCCTCCTCTTCCTCCTCCTCATCTTCCACCGATTCCTGTTTGGGGTACAATGGCTTGCTGGTCATTGCATAGTAGATGAACGGGGCAACCTTATCCAGCGGAATGGTATTCGACCAAGTGGACGACATGGCGTTGGATATCAGTTGAGATATCAGTTGGATTAAGATGTAAAAAATGCCTACCAAAGTTGAAAAGGGTTCCAGTGTTTCTGAAAATAAAACGGAAATTAGTAGTATCAAAAGAGGAAGGACAGATTTGGAAACGGAAATGAGAAATGAGTAACAAAAAGGTGAGACGAAGAGAAGCGAGAGCTGAAAATAGGGTGGAGCCTAAATTAGTTGAAAAAGAGGCGGAGCTTAGGAAGGGGTGGGAAACATCAGAAGCCTTCATCTATAAGGATCTACGTCACACTTGTCATTAATTTTGGCTTTCAAAAAAAGTCGTATATCAAATTCTTTTTGCGGTTCTCGGCCGGCTGTAGAAGGTGCAGGGCATACCACGCCCACTTTTCGGTGGGAATGGGAGCAAAGGGTGCGAACAAGAAAGGGAAGTGGAGCCAGTAATCCAAAGAAGGGGAAAAGTATAGCAAACATGTGTACCTAGAAACCAGAGAGACAATGAATCAAAGTGAACGGGCAAGAAACGTCAGGCAAGCGTTGGGCAAGTTGAGGGCATGCCAAGAAAAAGTTTTGGACAAGTTTGTAGCAAGCTTGAAATGAGTCATAAACAAGAATTATGGACCTGCTCAAAACGCGTTTCGCCATGCCTTGGGCAAGTATTGGGCAAGCATAACGCGTTATATTAGAGTGTTCTTGGAATGAAAATAGGTATCTTGAACTAGGATTTCAAAAAAGTAAGGATAAGGTCTATTTAAGGCAAGCATTGGGAAAGTCTTGGCTGAGATTTCCATCTCGGGCGGGCCGCCCGCAAACGCCCTACACCCGCCCTACAACCGGGGCGGGTGAAATTCGCCCGAGATGGAAAACTTAGTCTTGGTCATTTTGTTTAGCCACTAGACCATCTTGTCGTTATGATCTAAAATAACCGAAAAATATTTTGTGCTGATACTGAAGAGCTCTACAAAACCTACCAGATACCTATACTAAGGGTCATGCACTAAATGCTGTACTTATCCCGGTTTTATCTGGTTCAAGTCCTCTTATCTGATCCCCCTCGTCTTTTAGAAACAGCCTGAGTACCCAGGGGTGTTCTAGAAGTTTTACTTTTACTTCTACTTGGTTCTATTAGGTGTGTAGTTGGTTGAAACTTTTTTTGAAATACACGACAACCTCTCGTCCTGGGAAACAAGCATTTCGTGGTAAGACAAAGGCATCCTTTTCGGAATGAAATTGAAAATCATATGGGAACGAAGGAGAAGAGGAAATTGGAGCCGGGAGGAAGAAGGACATTTTGATATGGAAATTGAATTCGGACTACAAATTCTGTGGGCTGGGATTTCGGAAGGATTAGTGATTTTTTGGAATTTTTCAATTAGAAAATCGTATAGTCAGATATATAATTGATTTTTTTGAGGGAAATGTCAAATTTTCGATTCTTGAGGATCGTTTGTCTGTAAATCAAGATGTCCGTGACGTCACAGAAGGCACGCCTTATCTTTCTATCCTATCTGAAACCTGGGTCTCCGTTTCTTGACGCCAAGAAGAGCATGAAGCCAAAAGCGCGGGGCGTCCTAAAAGCACAAAAAGAGAAACACGCATCTGTTGAGAGGGGAATCGGAAAGGCATCTCGTTGTCAAGGAAACTCGAGAGTGCGAGATGAGAAGAAGACAAGTTACAAGATAAATTCGGTTAAATTAAAAATCTGAGGGACGGGTTGGAGAGGAGGAATGAAGACAAAGTAGAAGTATCTCCATTCTAAGATGAACCGAAATTTAAACATTGATGCTAGGTTGAAAGGATTTCAGGAGATGTCATGCTCGATCTGTCTTGATGCGTAGTTTCTGCAGAACTCGATATTTTTGTGCATGATTCCGGATGATGTCACACTTCAAAAAATGTCAAGTTAGATTTATCTTGGTTTGTAACTTCTGCGAATCTCATGATTTTCAATTTTTTAGAAACTAAAATGCAGCTTAAAACACATAGTTTGACATAGTGATGATTCCAACGCGTCTTCGTGCCGAAATATACGTGTACTTTGAGCTCAATTATCTCAGTTTCTGTAAAAGATATGAGAAATGTGTCAACTGATAAAATGTTGGTGATAACACGACTAACGTTTTATCAGTTGTCAGATTTTAGCAATCTCTTATAGAAATTCAGATAATCGAGCTCAAAGTGCGTATGTAATGGTCTTCTATTAGGGTGAATGCCGCTTTGCAGAAAAATTTTGCAGAAAAATACTTCTAGTCAAATCATAAAAAAAGGTAGAACTTCAGAATTGTTCAAAAAATGAGGTACAACATCTCGATTTTCTGTCCTTGCCCCTTTAAAGCCAGAGTCCGAAGATTTTATCTTGATTTATTGCTCACGACCGAAAATCTAGTAAACAAGTTAACCCTTCCATGTGTAAAGGATTTATTGAGATTAACAGAAATTAAAACATACACTAAGAATTGTTAGAAAAGAAAGGAGAAGTGCAGTTCAATAATATTTTCTGATTCTCCAGACGGGAAAAGTCTCCGAAGGCAGGTAATGATAGGTTCAAATTGAACGTTCCCAAATCGATTTGGTTCCTTGAATATCCTTTCCCAACTACTGTGTTCGGGCCAAAATGGACAAGCAGAACCTCTTGAGGGCGCAGGGGTATGGAGAAGATTCGGTATGTGTATGGTGGTTTAGTTATGCTGATGGTGCTGAAAATATAAATCATGGTAATACAGCTCACTAGAGTTACACTTCATGACCTACAAATATTAGAAAGCCCATAAAATTCTGATTCGGAATGTGTTTTCTGTTCTTGCAAAGCGTCGGTGAGCTTCGAGAAAATTAGGTCTCAAGAAGTTGTAATGCTAGTTAAACCTGTTGATTTTGCATTGAAATTCGAGGTTCAACTAGCACTAAAATTTCTTGTGACCTAATTTTTCCAAGCTCACCGCCGTTTCGCGAAAACAAAAAACACCTTCCGAATCAGAATTTTATGGGCTATAATATAGGTGACGTGTAACTTGGGATCCCGCTCAGATAGTTCCATAGCCATCCCTTATAATACTCACTTCAGATGCTCCTCCGATGGGTCAATACGGAAATGTTCCATCACTTTCACATTGAATTCTCTCGACATTTCTTGTTGCGTTAGAATCATGAAGTGCGCATCCGATTTTGCGTGTCGGCTGATGAAGTTCTGAAACCCCTTGCCATTTCAAAAACATCACTTCTAGATGCTAGGTATACCTTCAAATAATCAGTCATAGCTTCTGGATTCAATTCAACAACTTTGATATCCAAACTGTGGCATTGATAGAAGGGACGGAGATCCAGGTCAACTGCACTCTTAATTCGAATAGAGCTCATGTGACGCCATTGCTCCATCTCAACCAACTTCTCAACGACTTGCGTGCTGATGTGGTTTCCATAAAGATGTAAAGTATCCAAAAAAGAGGCATCTACTTGTCCCAAAATTTCAAGAAAACTTTCGTTTTCTATTGGACCATCCCATTTGAAATATTGTACTTTCCAAGGTGCAGAAACGCCTTCTCGCTTTCGTTGATCGATCACCTCCACTATCTTGTTTCCCAGCTCTTTTATTCCCAATGGATATTCCTCACATCCAAGGATCAACAATTTGAAAACCACCGCATCAGGGTGTTTGAATGTGTCAACCAGCATTCTCGAAGCTATGTCAGCTTTGGCCTCTGTTTGGGAATAGTTTCGGGTTCCGGTTCGGTTGTGTAGAAATTGGTTATTCTCATATCCTACTTTTTTCCGTTGCACCAGAAACGAAGAAGGTAACATGAATTGCTTGTGGCGAGATATGATGCTCAGTTCAGCCAGTCGAGATGGTTTTCTTGAATCAATCAAGTCTCGATGAGCTAGGCATGTTGCACGGAACTGCATTCTGAAAAGAGTGGAAAATTTTCAAAGCCAGAAGAAGAGAGCGAAAAAAATTGAAATTAATCGAGATACTGCAGAACCTGTATTAGAAGCGCCAGTCCTTCTATTGTTCCGAGGTATCTCTGGAGGGCCCTTCTATTAGAGGGACCCTTCTATTAAAAAGACCCTTCTAATACATGTTTTACGGTATGCTTTTTAACACTTTTACCATTACCATCTACTTGAATGTTTGTGCAATTGCATCCGACCTTATCATCTCCCCGATAAAAAAATGTTGACTTCAATTTCTTCACATCCCCTCTATTGTAAAACACACTTCACTCTATATAGCTTTATGTCCCTAGGTATATATATATAACGTCGCCTATTTGTATCACTGTTCAAGTAACTAATGCATCATTCTGACGTCGAACTCTCATGACATATATAGTACTAACTTCTGGAGCTGCCCAATATATATCCCAAGAAACGCTTCTGTCTCTTCGCAGTAGAAAACCCAACTTACATGGATTGCTCGTCTAGGCGTCCCACTATATTTTCCATGATCGAATCTGACATGTCCTCGAAATTTGTCTGGTATCTCTCTAGACGTGAATAGGACGCCCCCATTCTGAAATGACGATGACTATGAAGAGATAACTTTATGGGGAAAACGATTCTAAAAGTAATTTTCGAGTGAAATACCAAACATTGAAAAAGGTGGGTAGTCATTGGCAACAACTTCAAAACAAAATGGAAATCCGGTGACTCGATGGTCCTCTGGGATTATATAGAAGACTTGTGATGTTGATTAGGAAGCTCGAGGTGGTTTGATCTTCTGGAAGCTGACTTGAAAGGAATATAAATCATCTTCGAAATGTGTTGAAAAGTTATTTTCACTGTGTACTAACCGATCATGTGCATTTGGCAGCTGACTAGGGCTGGATTAGATGACAGTTACTTTCTCAAAATCATTCTAAAGTTGTTTTAAACTCTTGAAAATATTTTTGCTAGACGGTGACAATAAAGGGCAGTTTCCAGAATATTCAAAGTTCTGCGGTATAGACTGTGATTCATTAGACAGCATCCAAAATCAATTTTCAATAGAAGGAAGTAAATTTTATTTAAAAATTGAGGCCGTCTTTTAAAGCTGCAGTGAAGGGACTTTTTTTAAAATTTTTCAGGTTTATTAAGCATACGAGTTGATTACCGTAAGACCTTTAATAGAAGCCTTCCCCACCCCCTAACTTTAAACTTTGAGCAGATTTATCTCGGTTCTTGTAAAATATATCACTATTTTGTCAACTGATAAATTGTTTATCATAACATCCCTCAATATTTTTCAGTTCACACATTTTATATCTTTTGAAGGAACCGAGGTAATTGAGCTCAAACTTGAGTATGTGTAGCTTACACTTGAGCATGTACTTCTATTACAGGTTCTCCGGTAACTCATTGGCAAGGAAGCCCTGAACCTTAATCTTGATAACCTTTTTTAAATAAACATATGGTCATTAGAGCTTTTGAGATTTTGACTGGAGCTTTTGCCTGTTCTGCCTAAATGTGTTTTCTAGTGTTTATGTGTTCAAATTTCATAAATTGCACCTCTGGAAAAAGAATCCCAAATTCCCATTTGCTCCCATGACCCATTAGCTTTTCCTATCACATTTTACTTGCTATGCTATCTTCATGCTCATCACTAAATTCGATTTCACAGTACCACCCACTTCCTGCTCTTCTTATGATCCACCCACCCTTCAAACCTAGACATTCTCCCCAGGCCACTCATTTCTTTGTCTTGAATCCCCTCATCTCTCCCACTCATACCTAGAATTATCACTCTGTTATTTTCATTTCCTCCTTACCCAGGTACGTCTTCATACCTATGATTATCATCATGTGATATGTCCCTCTCCTTCTTTCCCAAGGCTCCTCACACCCACAGAATTCATATAAAAATAGGATTTTTCAGATTTTTTGTTAGCTACGTCAGCTGCTCCTTTCAAGCTTAGTGTTTCGTAAAATATACCTTATCAACTCTTACTTTTTAGAAGTCTGGCATGATGTTCTTCGTATCCAACTTCCCGTTTGTTGAGAGACAACAACGTACGAACAATGTTCCGAAAGAAGATCAACGTCCAAGTGGTCATCGAATGCTGCCAGAATTTGAGAAGGAAATCGTCCGACATCTGAACATTTTGGATCGGTAAGTTTTATAAGCTCCTATCACCTATGTATAAATTAACCAACTTTGTAGCTCGACTCTCCGCAAAACTTGCCACGCTGGCCGCATCCTTGCCGACACCCAGCCATACAACATCGAAGCCTTCAGTCTCCATAGCAACTCCCACGACGTCAGCATCTCGATCCGTGAGAATCCAACCTTCCGATCCATCTTCACACTTGATAAGGAATCTCAAGACGAAGCCGTGTTGACCATCATGACTAACGAGATGGTTATGATCAGACACTTTGGCATTGTCACCCGTCGCGGCATTTCGGGAGACGTCATCCATCAATGGGTCGAGAAGCTTAAGAACGCCGGAGTTCGTCGTCTGATGGTTAATCAGATTCACATTGTATACGACTTGTTCTCCAAGGATGTACCGAAGGAGAGACGTGGAAGAACAGAGGCTGGAATCCGAGAGCTCATCGAGATGTGTGTGCCAGGAGTTCTAACGTCGATCGTCATTGATATCGACTTCATTGATCTCACATGGACCGACATCGTCAAGAGTCAGCAATGGAAAATGGCGACCGAGATTCGTGTTGTTGGGGGAGGAAAATGAATACTGTAAAACCTGTAATAGAAGAGCACCCTAACTTTTTCCTTTGAGCCAATTTATCTCGGTTCCTGTCAAAGATATAAAAAAGTTGTCAACTGATAAATTGTTTATCATAATATCAAAAGTTTTTTGTCAGTTGACAATATCTTGCACAGTAGCCAAGATAAATTAGCTCAAACTTGATAACGTGGGGTCCTTCTGTTACAGGTTTCACGGTAAACCGTGTGCAGGAGAGTTTGTGCAATTTGCTTCATATATAATTAGTTTTTGTGATAATGTGATATAATAGATAATTGCAATATCAACCAATAAAGTACTATATATTTGTGATTTACAATGAATACAAAATTTTATCAATTCAGATGGAAATTTAGGACTTTTCAGGTCACGAAATTTGCATAACTTGCGAATTTCTCAATTTGATAGGTTCCCTACGTTTGAACAGATTTATTGAAACAATTAAGAACATTAACATCTAGATACTAGGGTTTGTTACTAGGGACTTACCGTAAGACCTGTATTAGAAGGGCTGGCTCTTTTATTTTTCTATGGTACCTCCGAGTGTCCTTCTATTACAGGGGCCCTTCTATTTTTTCAGCTATTTTTCGGGAAAATTTTCATAGAAAAATTCGACCAATATTGAGCAAAATTGAGCAAAATTGAGCAAGTTTTTCATTTTAAAAAAAACTGATTTTCAACAAAATTCTTCTTAATTGTGGAATTCCCGGAATTTTTTTCACAGAAAACGTACTGAAATTTTGGAATTTAAGACATATTTTGAAGGGGGTCCTTCTTTACATGCCGCTCTTCTAATACGGGGGCCCTTCTGTTACAGGGGCACTTCTATTTTTCCAAGCCCCTCTTGGAGGGACCTTCTATTAGAGGTGCCATTCTATTAAAGGGTCCTTCTAATACAGGTTACTAAGTGGCTTATCAGGAAGTGCTCCTCCCTCATTTTTAGAAAATGTTCATTCTAACTTCTCCATTTTATCAGGAAAACAACAAGACTTTTTTTCGTGTCTCAAACTTTCATCTCTCCGTCATTTCATTTTCTCCATATTCTTCAACAGCAATTCTCTCCCTTGTTGCCTCATTTTTATATACTAACCGCCTGCGTTTCCTGCCTCTCTCTTGGCGTTTCGTCATCACGACTTTTTTTTCCCGCAAACAGCGCAACAGAAAAGAGCACAGAAAAAGTGTATACTTATTCTGAATCTACGAGGTTCTTTATATTCCACTTATGATATTCTTCAAAATCATCGGTTTTATAAGTTATCTCTCGTCAGATTATGATGATGAGACGTTTGAAAATATTTTTGATGTTTATCCTCGGTCCATTACTTTCAATTCGAGTGAACCAATTATCCTAGATACTGTCAATTAGGTTATACCTAGCAACATTTGAATTGAGTTGTTTTATACTATTTGTAAACCACTATTCTAATAGTAACCTAGATAATTAAGATCAAATTTAACATTAGACACTAGAGAACCATGTCTTTCTATACATTTTTTAAAAGTATTATGGTGAATCTGTTAAATTGGCTTCTATGTTTTAAACACTGCATTTGTTGACCACTTCTATTTATCATATGTACTTGTGAAACCAGATATTCTGTTCTATTATCTGCATACATAGATCATAAATCTTACTTTTATCTCGCTTTCCCTTTTAATAAATCTTTCTCTGACACATGTATACTTCGTTTCATTATCCTTGTCTCTCTTTCTCACTCCCCTCTTGATTTGCCCCCCGAAAAATGTCTCTGTCTCACATTAGCATAGCTTTGTTTCTCTTTTGCCGACTTTTATTCTGTTTCGTAATTCCGCAACCTTTCACATTTTTGGTTATTTATTACCTAACATAGTTTTGAAAAATAGGTTTTCATATTCCTTTATTTTTGTAACGTTTGACTTTTCACATACTTACGACCGGGCCTTGCCATAGTTTCTTCCAGAAACAATATTTTCAGACCAACTAAATTAGATATGATAGAATTTGGCAAGTTCTACAAAATGATACTATTTGGAAAACTGAGTCTTGTCTATGAACCAAGTTACAAGTCATCTTGTCGCGTCGGCCCGGGCCGGGTCGGGAGTCTGTTTTTTGTCTGTAACTTTGTCCATAGACAAGACACAGTTCTCCAAATAATATCATTTCGTAGTACTTGTCGAGTTCTATCATATATAATTTAGGTGGTCTAAAAATATTGATTCTAAAAGAAACTATGGCAGATTCCGCGAAGGCCCGGCAAAGGCCCGGTCGCAAGTATGACTTTTCATGAAAACCCGACCCCTATCTTGCTGTTGGTTATTATCAACATATTATGAGCTTATGAGCTTATTCCTCTTTCCTCACCTCCATATCCCCATCCTAATTAGGCTAAGTTTTCCATTCTGGGCACCCGAGAGGGGTGTCGCTTTACCTCCACACCCCTTCATTAGTTTAGATAAGCAGAGCTCAGTTTCTCATGTGACTTCTCATATGGCTCGCAGAATAGTGCCAACTACACATGAAGCTCACATTTTTCCTCTTTTTCTGAAATTTCTAAAATAATTATATTATAAAATTACTTTTTCCACAGCCATGGGTATTCCAAAGGTGCCTCCAAATTGGATGGGTCTACCGCCTGAACTTCGAGAGAAGGTTTTCAGCAATTGCAATGTTCTGGAGAGGTAATTCTTCTATTTTCTAGAATCAACTATAACCTGAAATTCCAGATCTATCCTCCGAGATGTGTCAACCACCGACCGGCTCGTCGCAGATAAGCATCCCTACTTCATCAACGAAATTTTTGTTCTGCTCAATGGCAATGAATCAAGTGTATTTGTTACCGAAGGAGACCAAACATATACTGTCCAACCTGTGTCCAAACTCGCGAAACTTTTACAAACTCCGGGGCTGAAAATCGACAAAATAGCATTTGAATCTGGCTCAAAAACTTTTGACAAGGTGTTCTCAACACTCATGAGAAGCTTGGATAATATTCCAAAGGATTCGATTCATGTGAAAGAATTGGTTTTCTATTCCGAGATCTCTTTCCCTGGGTGCACTTGTGAGTGTCCAACTGAAAGTTCCCCAGATTCGAGAATCAACTCCTTCTTCAAGTTGGCGAATACTGAAACTCTCAACCATATCAAAATCACTACCAAATTAACGAGAGACCTCTGGAAAAAGATCACCGCTACAGAACAGTGGAACAACGCGGGATCCATAAGTGTGGAAAATTGTAAATTGGACGCTGTCGATTATTTCAATGACTGGAAGGGAAAACATTTGAAGGTTCTGACAAGTAAAGCGGAGGATATCACAAATTCTGATGAATGGAAGCGTTCTATGGTTAAAATTGAGCGATTTTTCAAGACGAAGCCACTTGGAGCAACAATGCAATTCCGGCGTGAAATGTCAACGAATGTGCTGTGAGTTGAATTTACTGTTAACTTTGAGCCTATATATCTCGGTTCTTGTAAACGATATCAAAAAGTGGTCAATTGACAAAATGTTCATCTTAATATTGAAAATGTTTTGCTAGTTGCTTACCTATTGATGTCTTTTACAGGAGCCGAGATATACGGCCTCAAAGTAGGCGTATTTCTTTTTATTGCTAAAATCACTAGGGAGACTAGTGGAGAAATTTAACATACCGTAAAACCTATGTTAAAAGAGCCACTTCATAAGAAAGGCCCCTCTAACAGAAGGGCCCTCCGAGAGGGGTTCGGAAAAATAGAAGGGCCCCCTGTAACAGAAGGGCCCCCTGCAAAGAAGGACCCGCTTCAAAATGTCTTGAAATTACAACATTTCAGTACGTTTCCAGTGAAAAATATTCCGGGAATTCCACAATTTAAAAGATATTTGTTGTGAAATAATTTTTTTTTGATAAAAACATGCTTAAATTGAAGAGCTCCTGTAATAGAAGGTCCGGCCCTTCTAATACAGGTTTTACGGTAATAACTTTTTTCACTCGGTAAACGGATTAAATTCTCAACTTTTCAGCTACGCCCAGTGCCTCAACAAAATCGATCTCTCGCATGATGCGAATCTCCGACTTTACACTTTCCGTGGACTCGAATTCATCTTTGGATTCGTCCGACCAAATGACGGTACACCGCCTGGCGTAGAAGCCTGTGATCCATTTGAAGAGAGACGACACAGAGATTGGATTGGTGAAGAACTTCATGCTATGAGTATAAGCCTATGTAGTTGGCTAGGCTAGACTTGGAAAATAAGATCTATGATATTTCTAAATTTCCTGGAGTTTTATACAAGCGTATTATCTTTTGCGAATTTTGAAAAAAAAAAGTGTTTCTTCTCAACTTTTTAACTCAATATGATATTCATCTCCTTCTTTAAAGGTGGGGGACATGAAAAAATAATGTTCTCGAAATTCCGTTTAAAGATGCCCCTCGAGGAGTTGAACTTGTGAGGGCGATGATTGAGGGTGCGGCGCCGCTACCGACTGAGCCACGCGGGCAAAGAGAAAGCGCACGCCCGATTGCATGCATAAAGGCGAGGACGACAGCTGTACGCAGAGTGACATTAAGCGTTGTACACCGTCACGGTAGAATGCATACTCTAGCTACAAAAAACTACGAAAAATCTCCTGTCCCCCCACCTTTAATGACATGTTTGCATACTTCAATCCATTTCTCTCCCCCTGCTTTAAATTCTCTCCTCTCATGCATTCCCAGTTTCAATGTTCAATTTCTTGTAAAGATTTCAATTTATTTCGGTTTGTGAGCGTTTTATTGAATAGACAATAAAAGGTGTTAAATCCCAGTTTATTTGTTCAATCTCATTCCAATCTCCATCTTGTGCATATTTTCCTTGCAATCACCGTGTAAACCTGTTATAGAACCCCCCCCCCCCCCAATGTCAAGTTCGAGCTCATATATCTCGGTTACTGTAAAATATATCAAAGTTTTGTCAACTGATAAAATGTTTGTGATAATATGATAAACATTTCATCACTTGACAACTTTTTTATACCTTTGGCAGGAGCTGAGATAATTGAACGCGAATCTCTCACCTAGCTGGCGCAGTCGGTAAAGCTTCCCTTCTACAGTACTCTTCTCATGACCTTTATTTTTCTTTAATTGTACATTTTTCAATACCACCAAGAATTGTATATATTCTCATCAAGTCTACGTTATCATTCACACAAATATTTGACAATAAAAATTGGCAAAAAGCAAACAAAACATTTCGCAACTTGCCTCCTAGAAATTGTCTGAATACTCTTTTATTTTCCTAGTATTTTTCTTCTTTTTTTTTTGAAAATTATATTTTTCCAGCATGACTGACATTTGCGCTGTGCTAGGATCCGATTCTTTACTTTATATTCTTCTGGAATCTCCTCGGGATCATGCGAGATCTTTGCTTCGAATTAGCGAAAACCGGAAATTAGACGGCCCTTCGATTTTTGAAAATGTTCAAGACGCCCAACAAAATTTTTCTGATATACTTCAAGTTTTTCAAGCTGAAACCCTTAAAATTCGAGAGCTCAAAATGGTTTTCGATGGGAATCCTAAAGATTTTTTCGAATTTTTGGCCAACGAAAATTCCAAGATGCAAGTCACTGGAAAGCGGCTGAAAATCAACGTGGAGAAGTTGATTGTAACATCTTCTGAAACTCCTGAATCTCATTTTCTAAAGTTTCTGAAACTTTTCAAGCCAGAATCCATGAAGAAACTAGAAATCAACTTCCCATCGATTGACTCTGAACTGGTGGACAAAATATGCAAATTGGAATTTTTTGAAAAACTCAAAACTTTCGAACTGGGACCCAAAGTGGAGAATTCAAAGATTGAGAAATTGTTGAGCGCTCGAAAAATGAAATGTCGAGTTGGAAGACTAACGGCAAAGGATATTGCAGTGGTTACAGAAGCTTACCTTACCAAGAACCTTGGCGCCTATTTCAAAATTTTTACGGATCGCCCAATTGAGCTGAATGAACTTTTTCGAGTTATTAACTTTATGCCATGGCCAATGCCAATCACTATAACGTAAGTTTTTTATGAGGAAACAAAATACCGTAAAACCAATAAAAGAAGAGCCCTCTAACTTCTTTTCAAGACAAGGTAATTATAAGTAGTCAATTATTTCAGTTCAGGAGATCAAAGTCAACTTTGAGCTCATATATCTCGATTCCTGTGAAAGATATCAAAAAGTGGTGAACTGATAAACTGCTTATCATAATATCACCAATATTTCATTAGTTGACACATTCTTGATATCTTTTACAGGAATCAAGATAAAATGTCTTAAAGTTGACAGTGTGGGGGGGGGGGCATTCATTACAGGTTTTACGGTAGTCAGGCAAAACTCTGAAAATTCCAGAAACGGCGCTGAGCCAGACGTCCGAATCCAGCACTACACAATTTCCAGCGATCCCGAAAACTCTTTGGAACTATTGGTCAAGATTTCGAAATTCGAACTTAAAGGGATTTTATGTAGAATTGATCTTTTGGAAGATCTGAATTTGAGAACTGATTGATTATAATGTTTTTTAATTATAAAAATATTATTCAATAATATGGGCAATTATTCATATCTTTGTTGATATGATCCACACGACAGACGACACCCCAGACACTATTCTTTTGAATTTTCATCCAAAAAACCAATGGTTCGCCATCTTCTGTTTTTCGGTCGGCTATTTCGAATCGATGGGTGTAGGTGTCTCGTTCGAAGTATTGGCTGAAATTTTTTTGAAATTTGAATTTTCTTCAAAGTCTTGAGACTCAATTTGTTGGAACTGGAGAATTGTCTGGCATCGATTCGAAAATCGCTAGAATCTTATCCAAATCCACCTGGATCTCAGTGGTAGATAGTTTGAAATAGGATCCCGGCTTCTTGGTTTGGAATACCTTAAAATAGAAACCTATTTATTTTAACAATTTTGACCTAGTCAAATATAGCGTTCCGTGTGACTTACCATAAACACTCTAGTAGAAGGCTACTCTACACCTGCACTTTGAGCAAATATATCTCGGTTCCTGTAAAAGGTATCAAAAAGTGGTCAACTGACAAAATGTTTTTGATATTATAATAAACATTTTATTAGTTGACAACTTTTTGATATCTTTCAAAGGAATCGAGATATCCAAGCTCAAAGTTGACGGTTTCGGTGGCTTTCTATTAGAGGGTATCATTCAAGGAATCCAAACAGCCATATAGATATAAAGTATTACATTAAATTACTAACCTCTATAGCCCTTTTGAGGTCCTCCGCAATAACTTCTTCCAGTTGAATTTTCACTTTCTCCGAATGAAACACATTTTCCAACATTTCTTTCTCAATCTCTGATCTTATAAAAATCTCCTCTTCCAATCCTTGAAATTGAGTCGTTTTCATTAATTCCGCAATCAACCCCTTATGTGAAAAGTTGAGTTCCAGCTTCTTTAAAGTTGTCGAATCGAACAAATTGAAAAATTTCAAGCAGTTTTCTAATTGCTTCGGGTTGATAGCCAACTCGACACAAGACCAGAATAGCTTCTCCACGTGTAACTTCCGGTGTCCGATACGTTTCAGAAGGTTCTCGAAGAATTTTGCTGGATTCCCATCTACTGTAAAGATCATCTCTCGAACTATCACATTTGGGTTGTCAAAGATTAGAATTAGATTTTCTATCGTTTGCTGTTCGGACTCATTTCTCCAGTGCAATCCTCTTCCAGATGGTTTCTCCATAACTAGAAGATGTGTTATGCGAATCCCTGGAGTCGGATCTTCAACGTCATCTGGAGTCAAGTCAAGTAAAAGACTGCTAGGATGAGGGGAACAGATTTGACAACGTCTTGGTCGGTTCTGGAGCATTTTTGTAGAGCACATCTGGAAAAATCGAAATGAGAAAGCTACTCTAATCGAAGCCCACCGAAGCTGCCAACTTTGAGCTCAATTATCTCGATTCCTGTGAGAGATATCAAAAAGTAGCTAACTGATAAAATATTGGTGACATTATGATACACATTTTATCAGTTGACCGCTTTTTGATACCTTTTACAAGACCGAGAAAAATTGATTCAAAGTTGAAAGCTTGGTGGTAGTTATTATAGCGTGTTTACGATATTTGTCAACTGCGAGCCAAATTTTCCCGTTTCCTGGGAGAGATATAAAAAAAGTGATTCACTGATAAATTATTTATAATATTATCACCAATATTTTATCAGTTGACAAATTTATTATATCATTTACAGGGATCGAGATAATTGAGCTCAAAGTTGACTTTGATCTCCTGAACTGAAATAATTGACTACTTATAATTACCTTGTCTTGAAATCTAAGAAGCTCACGACTAGTTGCTTAAACTTGAATGGAAGCGCTTCCCATCTGGGCGACGGCTTCATCAGTCGGAATTTTTATGATACAAAATGATTCTTCTTATCACTTATTATCAAAATGTTTCATTTCACCGGCGGTAAAAAAGAAAAAGGCACACACACACAATTTTTGATCGTTTCGAAAATCTGATGAAAATGTTTAAAATGCAATTAAATAAACGGGCAAAAAATACATATTGAAGACAAAGTAAACAGGAAAAAATGTGACCGATTTAACAAGGGAAGGGAAGTGTTTGTAGCTGAACTTTGAAGTGAGAAAAAAAAGTACAGGAATATTTTCAAATTTCTAGAACAAAACATTTTGGTCATAGTTGCAAGCGAGCCGGCCCGGGCAGGTGGCAGGCCTGCTAATAACTAGTCCCCAGAACGAGGTATGCAGACAGTTTTGGTACCAAATGATAAATCTCGACAGGGCTCATCACGCCAATACAAATTGAGCCGGATTCCGGTCCGATAACATGTTGAACAATGTGTTTGAATGACAAAAATCTGTTTTTGTGAAATTGGACGAAAATTGTCATTTAAGACCAGGTTGCGGCATGTTACCGGAATGGAATTAGGCCTAAATGATATAGGCGTGCGTGATGGGCCTTGTCGAGATCTATCGTTAGGTACCAAAACTGTCTGAATATCTCATTCTAGGGACAAGTTATCAGTCGGCCCGCCATCTGCCCGGGCCGGCCCGCTTAAAACTATGATTATGGTCATACATGTAAACCTGGATGTTGACGGTTTTTATTAGCTGTGCGTGCCCAGTCGTAGCTTCTTTTAGAATCGACATTTTTGGAATAACTAAAATAGATATGATAGAACTTGACGAATACTACAAAATGATATAATTTGAAAAATTGTGTCTGGTCTATGAACAAAGTTACAAGTCAATAAGCCGCCGGGCAGAGCTCTGTCTGGTATTTTCGTGTGTAACTTTGCTCATAGACAAGATACAGTTTTTTAAATATTATCCTTGTCAGAGAAAAAAAGGTTGAGTCGAAGTGTATGCGATGTTTGTAAACAAATATCTGAAAGCGTAAACAACCGGAAACAGTTGAAACGAGTGCGACAGTAACCCGACGGGAAAATGTTAAATTTACCTATTTTTTAGTTTTTCTCAGGGGGTACGACGAATTCGAACGCTTCCAAAATCGAACAGGCCTAAAATCGAACATGTGTCAAAACAGAACAAGAGCAGAATCGAACTGTGCGAAATTCGAACTGTGTCGGAGTCGAACTGTCCCTAATTGGAACGCTGTTAGCCATGGGGCGCGCTTGCATTATTTCTGTTT